CTCAAAATTAGTCAAACAAGTTATAAAAACAATGTTTGAGTCTCTAGAACGGACTGCTAGCCACATTAGCATTGTAGCACCAATTTATACAGCTGGAAGTTGACAACTAACTTGTCAACACGATGCAATCTTGATCTTGAATCTTGATTTTCCACTGTAGTGTGAAATTGTCTTGTGATGTGAATATGCATTAATCCAGGCCTATTGCAGACACATTGCTAGAGGAAAGGGCTCATTCACAATGCCATAAAACCTTCCTACTAAAAACCCTTTAATTATTTTCCATGCAAGCCACAACGTATCCTCCACCTGTACAGAAACATCTGTATTAGCTTAACAGGCTGTTGTGTTTTTTAAGCTAGAAACCACAAACAACAGAAAAAGAAGAAAAAAAAACAATGTGTTACCTCTATTCAAATGTTCTATTTGCACTCATTCCTTTCTTCCAAATGCAATTATTGCTGAATTTTGCTTTCAGCTACAATGTGTATTTTTAATTCCCTTCAAAAACACCACAGGGATTCAATCTTTCTACAATGTTCCACTTTGTGTGACAAGCGGGAAAATGCCGCGGTTACTTTGTAGCAATGTCTCTGCTTTGTCTCAGGGTTGCCCTTGCAAATAAGAAAAGAACAAAGAAAGAAACACTGTGCCAAGTGCCGACTTGAGCGTTTTACCACATGTAGTATTAATACATCTCAGAAGATCTTCAAAGTCTCGACTAAGAAAGCGAGATAAAACAGAGAGAGAGATACACTGTACACCAAACAAAGCCGGTGGTTACTGGAACTGTGTTTCAGGATGTTCGGGGAAAAAAGCAGCCATGTCACTGATCAAGTGCCTCTGAACATTCAGAGTAAGTTAGAATAGTCATAGTCAAAGGCATAGTATGTTTAGCTGAACTGCAGTGGGATGCTCTTGACTTAATACACTGACTGTGTGTGCGTTTTTGAAAAAGAAAAAAAATGGAGCCGTGGGCAGACATCCAAGTCCAACAGTTTGACTTGAGCCGTTTCCAAGACAAATTCCTTCTATGCTGATCGAAATCCCAATGTTTTCGTTTTCGCCATTGACCTCATTTTACAGCTTCTGAAGCGGGTAGTTCATACACCAGAAACCAAAACACAAACAGTCGCGGATCAATACGCCCAATATGCCCAGGTCAAATACCAGGGGATACCATCAGAAAACATGCACACATTTGCTTGCTAGACTGAGAAAAAGTCATAAAACAGCAGGATGAAGGAAAGTCTGTTAAGTCTCCACAACTTGGCTACCTGATATTGTCAAGATGCCCTGAACACAGATACACATATGTCAACGCACGCAAATATGAATGAACATATGTCTACATTTGTACGGCTTTTTACTGGATTAATAGGGATTTTTTTATAGATTATTTTGCTTATAAATGAGTTAAGGTTCATTATCAGACAGTTGGCATATTATGCAAATGCTGTTGTCTTAAGTTCTGCAGACGCGGGACATTGTTCCAAAGTGGTGCTGGAAATGGAGGTGATTTAACATAAATAGTAAATATTAGATCAAAAATCATAACTTTAATACTAACGATTGTGATATTCAGAAGATTAGGTAAAATGGTTACTATATATTGTGTGAACCATAAATCAATTGAGATGTATTGAAATTGTTAATGACACACATGTGTGCCAGTATCAGGTCAGTCTTTTGAAAGATACTTTTGAGAAACATATTTTACCCGTGTGTTGAGCACGCCAGGCATATTTCACTGCAGAATCCAGTAAAACAAGCTGAATCGAATACAAACTCATCTCAAAAACTGCACACACGTCCCTTTTCCCCCTCATGTTGTAGCAGTCTGTTGGTTCATGCTGTTAGGACAGTTTGTGCTTTTACAGTTCTTGTATTCTGTATATCTCACATATCTTGCACCATTTGTCATCTCAAAGTAAAGTGCTTTAGCATTTGACTGCCTGTCAACATGCCCCCGTGTCCTGAGACCAGAGCAGCAGAGTTTCACTGTTCAAAGTGGCGCTGATACGGGCTCCTATAAAGGTACCTGCTACATTTTGAAATTATCTGGAACCATAATCATTTAAAGCCACACTCATTGCACCATGCCTGGGAATACTCTGATGTGAGGAAAGTTAGACTTAAGATAATATAAGTATAAACCACAGACTGTGTAGAAAAAGTGGACTTAGTCATTGTGACAACAACTATCTGTTTCTGGATCAGCTTTTGCCGCCTTGAGCTTGGTGATTTGTGCGTCTTGTGCGAACAGAACTGACTGTATTTGGACTGCAGAGGAGGGACTTATAGGAGCTGCGTACTTCTCTGATAGTGTCAGAGGGCATCATGTGAAATCTGCTGCTGCTGGTTGCACAAACAGACTTTTAGTTATTGTTATGTATTAGCTGCACAAGAAATTAAGCAGAATTATATTAACTTTAAATGTTGACAAAACGTTTTTCAGTAGATGACAAGCTTGAGTTACAACAGTGAAAGAAACCTTGGTTAGACAATCAATTGGGAAATTGCAATTATTACCATCGATGTGATGCAGATGCAAATTCTGTTGCATCCCTCAATTTCAACTAATGAGTTTCAATTCAAGTGAAACGTAAATGTAAGAATGATTCGCTCCTCAAAGACCAACCCTTGTATATAGCTGCAAATATCAAGCAATGATTAACAGGTTTAAAGATCATTTCTTTAGCGTAAATACATGTCTTCAAACATTATGTTACGTGTGAAAAATGCAAGCGAGCAAGTTGACCTGGCAGCCTTTTTGATAATTATTTCCCCTGAATGACAGCAGGAGGAACTGCAGCACACTGACTTGATGAGAGACACTGTTTACCTTGTTTGGTTTTCCTCCGCTTCACCTTCCTCTTCCTCTCAGCAGCTGTCAGTCTCTTTTTGTCACCGCCTCATAATCTCGTGCAGTTGTCATCGCTGCGACAGAAAGACGCATGTTTGTTTGGAGGGAACTGTTGACGTGCCGCTCCTGCACATCTTTTAACGGCGACTTGTATACAACGACTCATCTACCACACAGATAGGAATAAAACCCCCCGCTTAATGTAAACTAATCTTGGATTGATGGCAGCCAACGCTCATGTTCTGGCCCACCTGCCTTGTTGTCATCGTATCATACTCAACACACTGTACTGTAACCACACGTTGTCATTTGGCAGCTTGTAGGTACACCACAGTCTGATCAATGGAGCACATTGCGGACTGGCACACTTAATAAAAATGTGTTACCGGCAACGGCTGCGGTGTCAGCACCAAAATTGGTGGCCGGGCTCCACCGCCTCGGGCAGACTAATTAGTCCTCCGTCTGAAGCGTTTTTCCTCTCCTGCTGTGCGACGATCGTTCATTCAGGTCACGACCTTAGCAGCTGCGTGACGCATCTTTTCACTCCGCGTTCTTTAAATCAACTTTGCCAATCTTGTTGAAGCAGGCAGTGCCGTGTGGTGCCCTGAGCGCTCATGCCATTGATTTACAGTCTGGCAGAGCTGGGGAAACAGCCTGTTGTGAGAGCATGGGGACGAAGCAGCGGGCCACATGAGGCCATTTAACAAAGTCTGTTCTCATAAACATCCCTGCTGGTTGAAGCAATGAATCATTTAAGGGTGTCCAGCAACTGCTTTGTTCATGTCAATGTGTATTAATACGGTATGTTCAGTGTCTGGAAATATGAACCATATTGTGTCTGTCGTTTCTGTGGTATTCGCTTCAATGGTTTGGAATACCTTTGTCATTACTCGGCTGGTAACATGTGAGCAGAACTGTCTCCGGCCTGTCAGGGTAATTCCCAGGGCTCTCAGGGGCATTTGTGATTTCTTTTTTTCTTTTTCCCCCTGGACACTAAAAACTAAAACAGTTTACTGTCCTGTGCCGGTCAAAGTGTGGGAAGAACTGTGAGACTTCCTGTTTTATCACTACCATATGGATTGTCTCCCCCACCACCCCACCCACGGTTTGATGTAGGATGTACGCTTGCATGTAAAATCCATTGCCCCGTTTCATCGAGCATTTCCTATTCTAGACTTGCCCCCCCCCCCCCCCCAAAAAAAGAAATGCATTTATGGAACAGAAACCACAAGCATGTTGTCGGTTCAACACGGCAGCATCTCAGCAGCTCCGACGGCCGTGCGCGTTTGTTATTTTGCATAGAGGATTTGTTGGAGAGGGTCAGAGGAACAGCCAGACGGTTTGTGATCCAGTGCTGAAGTAACCCCATAAGTCAAAAGGTGCTTTCTAAACCGCTCTGACCCCTGTGCTCCTATGCTGCAGTGTTTACGCTGGCTCCACTGGCATTAAACACAAGCCGCATATTTTTAACATTAGGATCCTCCCGGCTCACCCGGGGCCATGTAAATAGTGAGCCGCTGGTCAGCCGGGATCAATCAACTCACTGCCTGTTTGGACCAGCTCCATGTGTCTGCTGGTGTGTAGTCGTACGATTGTGTTTATTGAAGCCAACAGATAGCACGTCTCAAACAATCTTTCAAGCTTCCAAAACTATTTTTAAAGTAGCTTTGTACACATATCTCAAAAGGATGTATGTGAAAAGCAGAAGGCTAAAGGTAACTATAGTTGTATTGAGGTATGGTGGGGTAATAGTAAGATAGTGGAAGCAAATGCTAAAGTCTCTTGAGGTACAGGACATGTGTGTATATACTTTTATATAAATGGAGGCGTGAAATGCTACACATTCCAATGTTTGGCAAGTCCAAACTCTTGTACTTAAACATGGTGAGTGTGAGTGAGATAAGGTCAGGCAATGGTATATTAACATGGTGTATTCCTCTGATAGCACTGGTTGTACGGTGGAAGTCATGAATCAGTACTTTACCAACTGTTTTACCACTTGTTAGAACCAAACAGTGTTACGTGTGTAGTAGCGCAAAATTGAATTTACCGCTGCATGCGAAAATAATCATAAAGCACTGTTTCAGTTTAAGTATTTTATCTATATGTGTGTGTGTGTGTGTGTGTGTTACAGAGCTGTAGTTCAGGGGGTCCAGATGGCAGGCATGAGGGGCCCGGCCTGCACTGGAGTCTGGCTCTAGAGTCCACAGAGGCTCCCGCTTCAACTGGACATTCCAAAAGGTAGGCTACACATAAACACACAACACACAAAATAACTCACGCTCAACTGCAAGGACCAACAATGTCCCTGTAATAGTGAGGTTGGACTAAACTTTACAAGGAGTTAAGATTCTGTCGCTAATATAGTCGGTGACGTACGCTCCAGTGATGACCTGAGAAGCATGCTTGAAGTGATAGACAACAATATTATATTTCAATGAAAGAAAGACATACAGGAACAATATCTGAACTATTGTTTCCCTCTTTGTGCTCGGCTCAGGACGTGTGCCCATGAGGTCGTCACCACTGGTCCTGCTCCTCCTGATCGGCGTCCAGGCTGTACAGAACATGGGAGGTGGATTGGCCCGGCGCGCCGGAGCAGCCGACCACAACGTCGAACAGCAGGCGACAGCCAATCACAGAGCAGGACGGCCGCAGGCGGCAGTGAGGGACCACCTCTCTGAACGCCCTCCTACACAAGAGCACCAAAGGACCAGCCACCAAAGGACCAAGAGGCCCCATCGGGCAGCTTCATACACACAGGATAGAAGCCGCGTCGTCGGGCAATCTGCGTTGGACTCCCCCCCGGAACCTTTCAACCCAGTAGTGGACCCCAAGCTCTTCTCCAAGAGACGATACCGCTCCTCGCCCCGCGTTGTCTTCAGCGAGGTGGCCCCGTCACAAGATGCCCTGGAAGGCGAGGGATATGACCTTGGAGGGGTGAGGGGGTTGAGAGTAAGGCGCACGGCGGGCTCGCACACCATGCACCGAGGGGAGGTCTCGGTGTGTGACAGCATAAATACCTGGGTGGGTAACCTGACACGAGCCATAGACATGGCTGGGAATGAGGTGACGGTGCTGCCCTTCGTCACGATCAACAACGTGGTGAAGAAACAGTTCTTCTACGAGACCACCTGCCACTCGCCGACGCACGGAGGCTCCGGGGCCGCGAGCGCCGGAAGGCCGGGCGGGCGGGGCCGCAAACAGGGTAACAGATCGGGCTCATCGGGCTGCCGCGGCATCGACAGTGGCCACTGGAACTCCTACTGCACCAACACACACATATTCGTGAGGGCCATGACCATCTTCAAGGAAATGATAGCCTGGCGTTTCATCCGCATCAACGCTGCGTGTGAGTGTGTTCTGAGCAGGAAGTCTTATAAAATAGCGCGCCAGCCGGGGGGCAGGGGGGCTATGAACTAAGCACACACATTTCTACTAAACAGCCACTGCAGCTTTATTGCCAATACTGTAATCCTCTTCCCCACCTCCAAACACACACACACACACGTATTACACACATTTACACACATACAGAAACAGCTTTATCAATCCAACCCTTTGGCCCCTGACCCTACCTCAGCCTGAGAAGTCCTGGTTGTTTTAAGTTATGAGGACCGCATGTCATATTTATAGTTTATACAGTCAAATATGAAAGTATATACAGTATGTGTATATATATTAAATGAATTCAAGCTTTTAATGTTGTTGTTATTGTTGTGTTGTTCATGCTGTTATTTATTAAACACCTCAGTACTTGCCTGGTTTCTTGTGTCAGATCAATATGGTGTTTTTGGTAAGATTTTGGTCTTTTCACTATTTTTGCATTAAAAGACCATTTCAACTATGAAAGAGGCCGGAGTATTACTGCGATGGGGACTTCGGCTTAAACTCTAGATGGATTATTATGGATATTACCTCCATATCAATGTATGAGATGATACTACTTGATTGTGCTTGACACCTAAATGAGCGCCATACTGTGTCTCGATGATCGGTTGAGACATGATCAGTGGGGCAGAAAAAATACTAATCTAAAATCTTAATTTTTTTCCAATCTCCAGCGTGTGATTAATATAATTTTCAGGCTAATCAAACCATTCTGCAATCCCTCTTTTCCTGTATGGAAGACTGAAACATGTATCCCCGCTCACTCATTCAAGTAATGGTTCAAACTATAATGTTTTAGGTATGTAAATATTTGAAAATAAGGTCAGTGCGGGGTCAGATGAATGCCTACTGCTCTAATGTCCTCCAACACAATAAAAACAATATGAATGTTAGATTAGAGAAAAAGTGTTTTGTAGCACATGGTGATTTAACATATACTGTATATTCTCCTCTAGAGCGCCCCATTGACAACAATTAGCTCTGCCTCTATTGACTCACTTGTGGGGGTAGTTTAAGGAACATGGACAAAACATGAACATTCCTAAGCTAAACAAGTAATTGCTGCTCATCTTTCAAAAGCCAACTGACACAGGGAATATACAATGCCCTCAGGTCATCTCAGTCCTATTTTGGATGTCTGGGGCAGGTTTCACAAGACCATGCTACCCTCTTGTGGTGATATGAAAAACGCTACCGAAGGTGAAAACAATGAGTGAGGCAAAGCTCTCTCTCCCTCTCTCTCTCTCTCTCTTTATCCAGCTTGCTCCATCTGTCTTTCTCTCTCCGTCTCTCTATCCCTCTATTTATTTCTCTCACTTTGCTCTCCTCTCACTGAAAGTCGGATTCTGCGCCTCTCCTCACATCGACACCCTCCCCGGCTTCCTGGCTGTGCCCCCCCACCTTTCCTAAAAGCTGCAGCTACAACGATCATACCCAAGGCTATTCAGTTCTGGCTGCGTTGCCAGGAAACCTCACTGCAGCAAAGACAGTGTGATGAAAAAGATGTTTCTGAAGGTGAACCCTGCATGACCTCTCACGTTGGCAGGAGCTGCGGTGGGGTTTGTTAACAGTTCACCTTCTTTCTCTCAGCTTTGCTGCAGAAGCTGGAAAACAATAAAAGGCGGTAACATTAAGAGAGAAGGATTAAGCTGAATTCTGGCTGCCAAATCTGCATTCCATCTCTTAGATTTTCTAAATTGCTTCCAGGTCAAGTAGGCAAAAGCATATATGGATGAATAAACAGTGATTACATATATATATATATATATATATATGTACATAACCCTCACTTGTCAAAGAGCTTTTGAAACAGTGTCTCAAACCCTGTATTTGTCCCACTAATCTTATTTTTTAAACAAGAGCACAGCTGCTTAGGTGGCCTTCACTGAAAATAAAATGCGAGGCAGTCAGTGTCTGCAGTGCGACCAGTAGATGGTGTTATGCTGCCACAGATGGAAATCTCTTCTGCTGCTGCAAAAAAAAAGGCTTCTTGGACACTTTTCTTGATGTATAAACTAAATCCACCTCCTCCTGACAGAGTGAGACCATCACAGAGCCTCAGAGCCAAAAGACATGACGGTCGGTCATCAATAAAGATCACGCCGCCAGAAAAAAGGTCCAGGCCCTTACCCAAACACGCGTGTAAGAGAGACAACAAAACAAGAGCTGTTTTACCAATGCTACCCCTTCAACAGGGGAGTAAAACCAGGGCTGTGTTCAAATGCTTAACATTTGTACAGTAGTACATTTGTCAAAAGTATGTCGAAAAATGTTCAATGTAAATGAACACAACTACCGCACCAAACCCAAGAAGGACTTGTTTATGCACCACATTGAGCTGTTATTCAATCTACTCAGCCATTTGCTGTGTTTCTCCCTGAGGGTTTATGACCTGCACACATTTTTCTTCTTCACATGTTTGGAACCACATAGCAACTGAGCTACCAACGGCCAACAACAACCTCCAACAAGAGGGGACACTGTGCTCTTGTCTCAGTCTTATCTGCCTTTCCTTGTATGGCGCTCCTCTGTTTAGAGTCCTAAAATTAACCTCATCCGTCTTCTTTCCGTCCTGAACAATTCCACCAATTAGGGTCAAAGCACAAACTTTGCAGCGCTGAGAGTCTTGGACGGCTCAGTTCACGTGTGTGAAAAGAGCCACATGTTGATGATTAAATTCATCACCTAAACATTTATAATTCTCTCCGTTGTGTCATTCCTGTCCGACTCGTTCTTCCCTCCAGCATTAAGCTTGGCAGATCGTTTTTGTTCCTACAAGGACATTCCCTAACCAGTGCCTACTTACCCGCTGATAAAATGAACAAGTCTTTGGACGGGGCCCCTGTTCTCCATGGTTGTGGGGAAAATATTTATATTGAACGTGATGTTGCTGCTGAGTTTCATGCTCCCAGTCGCTGATGACACAGAGGGGAAGACATCAAGGGCTCCTCTTCTGGTAAGGCAAAGCCTTGTGCATTGGGATTTTTAGTGGGATGTCTCTTGTTCTGCTGTGTTCCAGACAACGCATTTCCTTTAGAGATTTAGTGGACGGCAATGAATGAAAACAAATATTCAACGGCCAATGGGAGACAAACAGAGAAAAGTGAAAAAAAGTTGGGCTGACAATATCCATCCGTTGAGATCTTCTTGATGAATAATTGAGCAGCTTGCTTTTTAAAAATCTTCTAACTTTTATAATGCTACACCCACATCTGAACAAAAAAGGCTTAGGGAGGTCTGTGTGCTGTTTTAGTTATAACATTCCTCAACATCAGGATTTTTCTTGTTAGAGGATAAGTCCAGTTACCATGTGAATTAGAACACAAATAAACCAAGTTGTTCATAGCGGCTTCCCTTTACTTCCATGCTGTCTCTATAGATATCTTCTTGCTGCAAGTTAGACTCAGTAATTCTGTCATAAAACAGCCTGGTTTTCATACTACATGTGTGCAGGGCGACTGTGACTGTTTTATGATATTATATGATATGAAAAATAGCCCACTATACATAATATGCTATAACTGAATGGGAATTTCATTCTGGCAGTTAAACATTGCAATGTATAAAAGGTAAATGTGAATTACAGGGCTTCCAATAGAAACTGGCGAAGTTACTGTTTGTACAAGAGTTTACCACTTTCAAACAATTCAAATACAAAGACTATACAATAAATCAAAAATGAATATCAGCTTCCAGGTAAATGGTGACTTGTGTGGCTGGGCCAAACTTGTAACATTTGTCCAAATCCACATCTTGTACTCCCAGTACCCCCTCCAGCCCCCTGTGCATTGTTCAAAGGGGCGGTCTGGAAAGAGTCTGCGGTGTGTGTGTGTGTGTGTGTGTGTGTGTGTGTGTGTGTGTGTGTGTGTGTGTGTGTGTGTGTGTGTGTGCGCGCGCGCGCGCGCGTTTGTGAGAGAGAGAAAGAGAGAGAAAGAGAGAGAGAGAGAGAGAGAGAGAGAGAGAGAGAGAGGGCTGCTCGATACACAAGTGTTGTGACCGTTTTTGTTGCAGCCGACACAATCGTCGGAGGGTTTTTCTGGGGATAAAGGCGAAAAATAATAATTCCAGCCAAAATGTCGAAGGTGGAAGGAGGAATGAGATGTGTCAAATACCTCCTGTTCGTGTTCAACTTTATCTTCTGGGTAAGTGCGTTTCGGGTTAACGTGAATGCATGTGTGGCGACGGGATGCGAGCCGCGTGCGTAAAGGCACAAGTGCCAGCAGCGGTGCGGACTCCTGCCTCTGGCCGATGCGCGCATTGTTCTCGCCTTCATTGTACTGTGTGCTGTACTTGGTGGTTGTCCCGTCCCTGCGCGGAAACGGTGACGGCCGAGCTCAACGGGTTGAAATCAGACTTTCCACACAGGGGGAAAAAAAAAACGCCCTCATTTCCTTTTTGAAAGGAAGACTGAATGAAAAGATGGAGAGAGATTAAGAGAAAGCGTGGAAAACCGTGGCCGATGGCCTCATTAAGGACCCGCGGGCTTCAGGGCTGGTTGGTGAAGTTACAACCACCTTGGAGCACGAGAGAGCCACTTTACTCCAGACCAGTGTGCACGCAAGCTCTACACACGTCCCTTCCATCCTTGTTGAGTCCATTCACTGTGTAGGTCCATTTGAAATCAAGATACGAATTTAAGATCTACAAGTAGTTGCTGGATAACCTTGTATGTGATTGTGAGAGAGGGAGTGTGTGTGTGTGTGTGTGTGTGTGTGTAAAAGGGCACTTTGGGATATGTTTTGCTCCCCTGTTTCCACTCCACCGAGGGAACGCTCCTTTGTCTGCATGTGTGAGAAAGAGAGAGAGAGAGAAGAAGATTTTCCGACCAGCATCTGTGGAGTGGATCAGTTCCTGAGGGCTGCGTGAATGGATCCATTGTCACAGCGGGACAATAGCATAACTTCCGTGCCCTGCTCCTGCCCGGCCAAGCATCAGGCCCTGCCTGTCGAACCCCACCGGTCCAATCTGTGTGTTCTACTATCCCCAATACCTCCACATCCAGGATGGGTGTTGTTGCTGCCGAATTCTCCCTTGTACATCTGTATGAACGTGTGGCACTTGCACAGAAAGACAGGTGAATGTGAGAGGAAGCAGACATTTGGAGAAAAAAAAAGAGGACATGTGACTGATTGACGGACGTGATAAAACAGAGGAAGGGAGACGACAAATGTGATGGGGAAAGAAAAAGGGTCACGGGGAGATTGAGAGGGATATTCATGCGCGTGTGTGCGCGCTCACATGGCAAAAGAGTGACAGCTGACCCAGATAAAGACAGAGCGCCAGATCGGCATGAACATAGCGGGATATTCTGTGGGTGTGGGCTGTGTTTGTTTCATGTTTCACGGGATTAAAGAAACACCAAAAAACGGAGGCTGCTCCTCCGCTTCTTGGTTTTGCTTTCTCAGCAACTGTGATCCATCTCCGTTCATAATTACTGCATCCAACCCCTCCTGTTGATGGTGGTGTGAGTGATGATGGGAAGAGTGTTTTTGGAGGAAGGGCAGAAGTTTTTCCCTTCCAAACCCCCACGTCCCCTCTCCAGAGAGCAGAGACAGGAGCAGAGACAAGAAGCCAGTGGCTCTTCAACACTTACAGCAGAGCGGTCTGCCGTGAGACATGCTGACACTCACTCACACACTCAAAAGACACAATTTAAGATGTCTTCACATACTGTAAATAATGAAGCGCGCGTCATACCCCCCCCCCCCTTGTCTGAATACACACAAAACATGCTCACCACTCATCCTGTGTAAAGGGGCTAACGGGTTTAGGAATCTTGTTGACTTCGTGTCACAGCAAGATTTATTGAAACTCCTGCAGGGCTCCGATATTAAACCTCCAACGTACTGCAGGCCCCGCTGGTAGCTCGTAAAGCAATCGCTTACAACGGAACATCAATAGCTGGCTGGCCCGTCTGGCCTGTGTTTGTGTGCTCTAGTTCACTGACTGCCCTATTTAGTCAAAAGGCCTCTAGGTTAACCGCGTGGGGCAAGCATTAGTGATGTGCGTCAAATGTCCCTGTGTTCTGTCTACTAAATGTATATGCAGGGACTTGCAGGCTGAGCAGTGACATATTAATGCAAAACAGGAACATCTGGCAAAACCTAAAACAGGTAACACGGGGCCCCAATGATGCAACAACGTTGATCCGACAAGAGAGGATGGGAGCGCAGAGGAAAGGGGGGGGGGGCAGACAAAAACAGAAACGCACTAGTCTGTGTTGTGACCACACTCCCTCGCCCCGGCACAGATTTCAATAGGATTTACTCCACCCATATTCATGCCCCTATTTACACTTTCCATCTGCCCATCTTTTTTAATGTGCGCTTGCTGGTGTTTTCTCCAAACATATGCCAGACAGAAGGGTATTTTTGAGAAGCTTAGACCACTCACAAATTGCTGGTGGTTTTAAATAAGTATTCCACAGAGGTTTTCCTTTTGTACACTGCTTTTGCTGCAATTCCTTTCTTGAAAATAAGGAAAGTGGATAACGCCTCTGACCAACACCCCAGTCCCGTGTCCTGTGTGAGCTCAGCCCCCGTTTCATGAAAATTCCCCTCACAAAAACACTATTTAACTGCCCTGTTAAAAAGTAGGCTGTGTTACTGTAGAATTGCCTCAATAAAGCTACAAGAGGGAGATTTTTATACCTGTCTGGAAATATCCAGCCACACTAACTATCTTCAAAGGTGTCATAGGGTAGTGAGAGGACAAAGAGTAGGTCTGTAATTCTCATAGCTGCATCTTAAAACACCCTAATAAGCCACAGGTTGGAGTTTATCTCTGAATAAGATGCATCTGTCTCTGCAGGCAAGGGGGGAAAAGATTGTCCAGCCACTTCTCTTTTTCTCTCTCTCCTTCATTGTGTCTGTCAGATTCCCTCCTATTGTGCACCAAAACGTATTTTCACAGGGAGACAGTGGCTCTTTGTCCCTGTGGGGAGATTTGGAGGGAGGGCGGTGGGATTAGGTGGGGTAGAGGAGGGGGATACATGGAGATAAATCAGTGGGGGGAGATTTGAGGGGCAGCGGGGCCGAGAGAGGGGAGGGGAGGGGTGTGTCCAGTGTCGGACGGGGTAATGAAGGCAGACAAAGTGGTGGGAGTGTAAAAGAGGTGTGTGTGGGTGGGGGGGGTATGTATGTAAGCAGGGAAGGGGTAAATGGGACCTTCGGGATAACTTGAGTGCCAGAGTTGAAAACGTGCTAAATATGTCAGCTACTGCCCGCACGCACTGTTGGATGCCTTTTTCTAAAATGAGACCTTTCAGGGTGGGAGCCATTCAATGCATCTCTTGTTTTGTTTTTTAACATTTTAAATTGATCCATGATAGTAATGAGGTCCAGCTGAACTCTGAGCTCTTTGCAACTCTGAGGCAACCATCTGCTCCTCCTATACTATACTACCGCCAGATAGCTCGGGACAGCGTCAATACTTGGTGTGCGCTGTGTGTCCAGCAGTCCTCGCCTCACACCTTCAAACCACGACATCAGGCACTCCGACAAATACCGGGGTTAAATAGATCCAAAGCCCCCGCTCCATGCTAATCCAGCCTAGTTCAGTAACCTTCACTTTAATGTGCTTTGTCACTTTGGGGTTTCGGGCTTAAAAAGTCCACGGAGCTAAGCCGTGCCAAGCATCACCAGGCATGACACTAAACCCTCAGTTTGGGAGGACGGCTGCTTCCCTGCACCTGTGTGATCCGATGCTTTACAACCGAGCTGCTGGCCTTACTTCAGACCACCGTAAAGTATAACTTGTGGACGTGGTTGGAGAGGAGTACAGTGGAGCACAGTGTGTTAGCGTTGAAGCTCAGCTCGGAAGGTTTTCAGACTCAATAATCCTCAGGGGTCATCGGCTCAGTGATCGTTAAAACCTCTCGGTATTGATCTGTCAGTGTCGCGCCCACCGCCGTCTGCCATTTGAGAGCTTCTCGGATCTCAGGAAAAACAAAGCATTTCCTTCAAGGTCTTCTGAGCAGTTTGTTTGCAAGAGCATTGCTGAGGGTAGAGCTTGGATCATTGTATGCCGGTGGTGGTTTAGATGAAGGAAACTATGAGTAACATGTAGCCTGTTTAAACTTAAGATGGCCAAAGCCCAGCGAGTCATTTCTCCCTGCCGGGGCGCCAAGTTACACAAGTTACGTTCTGCTGGGATCTAAAGACACATAGATGATCCACCTATGGTGGTGACAAATATTCACACTCATCAGTTTGACAAATAACGTTCGGTTTTAGCCTAACAGCTCCTACAGCGCTTGTTCTCCCATTGCCAAATTATAAAGGGGGGGGGGGGGGTGGTGGAAAACTCCACAGCACTATGTGCTTCATGTGGAAAATCAGAAACTAAGAAGTCCTTAGACCGGCCTGAAAATCACACACTTAACCCAGATAATACTACTGTACTATAATTAGGGTTCAGTTACAATTAAAGCCGGCGTGAGTCTCAACACAGCATGACTGTGGACTATTTGCCTGCAGAGGTTATTTCTTGTTGTTGTAATCATGCTCTCCTGCCTCTGCAGTTGATGGGATCCTTCGTTCTGGCGGTGGGACTGTGGCTGCGCTTCGATCCAGAAACCGTGTCTCTTCTCAATGTTGACAAGGCTCCAGACACTTTCTTCATTGGTGAGTACCATGACGGACCTCAGGTAGTGTAGAAACATGCTGGAGAAGTATGTCAGTAATTATATACTGTGTATATATATATATACACACAGTATAAATAAAGCATGTGTTTTTTATGTTGCTCGGAAACCATTCTAAATGGGTCGAGGAAAGGAGATGAGTGTGAATAACAGGAAATGACTGCTGTTAACACATGACAGAAACCACAGGGCTGCTAACCACCGTTCAATTAGACACCATACCCAGATGGAAAGAGACTGAGGAGGAGGAGGAGGAAGAGGAAGAGGAGGAGGAGACACTTGGTATCGGGACACTTGAAGGAGCATTTGGAAGAGGTCAATCATAGAAACAGATGGGGAACCATGACAACAGTTTAAAGGAAAAACATGATGGGATTTCAAATTAAATGACAGAGCAAGAGGAAAAGAAGAGAGTGTTTATCTATCTTGTGTAGCACTACCCTTCCAAATACTCTCAACAATCCGACTAAACCATCCTCCTTTTATTTTCAGAAGCAAGTTTAGAACTGCTGTGTAATGGTAGTGAGAATGTGTGTGCGCGTGTGTGTGTGTGTGTGTGTGTGTGTGTGTGTGTGTGTGTGTGTGTGTGTGTGTGTGTGTGTGTGTGTGTGTGTGTGTGTAAACTAGGGCTCAGGTGTCCATGTGGTTGGACTGAGGGTAGGTGTCCTCTCAGAGTATAGTGCTGCACATGGCTTTGACATTGAGTGCGCTGTCCCCACAGGCACAGTTGAGAGCGCCCAACAGTTGCTATAAGAACACAACAAACAGCTTCTGACTAAGCGCTTCTTCGGGTCGGACCAAGTAGAGAAACAGCGTCTCTTTCAGGTTGTGTAAAGATGGAGCGATGATTCAAACAAAGTCTTCAAACCATATTTGCTGTTACCTCATGCTCTTCATACCTCATGGAACATTACCATGTCAGGTGAACTGCAGGAACATTGACTAAACAACTTTAAGGCTGCAACAAAAGTACTAAATTAAATGATTGTGTCCCATCAAGTCTTTTTGTTGACACATCAGGATCCTATGAACGGCACCTTAGGTCAACCACCTAATCGTGTGCCGCCTCGGGGCCTGACGGCCCTTTCTCACTGCATCCTCTGCAGAGCTGTTGCCCGGCAACGCACCTCACCTGTATCAAAGCGGAATTTCATTCCTGATGAGTGGGTTGGAAGGGGAGATTTGGGTCTCTCAGGGGGTCCCATTTAGAGCTCATCTTTAATAAAAAAGTTGGTTTCTGTAGACTAGAATTGCCCGTTGAACTAAAAGGGGAAAGCTGATCATATTACAGATGTGTTTTGCGGTTTATAAACCTTTTTTTCACCCCGCCTGTTTAAAACTGGAATATCTTGATGATGTTAATCAATAATGTTGATGAATAGAGTGTATCAAGTGAAAAGGTATTCCGATGGTTGTTTACCAAATGACTTCATTACAATAGTGTCTTGTTCCTCCAGGTGTCTACATCCTGATAGGTGCTGGCAGCATGGTGATGTTGGTTGGTTTCTTCGGCTGTTGTGGAGCTGTTCGGGAATCTCAGTGCCTGCTGGGTTCTGTGAGTATGAAAGTGATTCTTACCACAAGAGCAAAATCTGAACTGAAATGCTTTTTTTCTCAGTTGGATATCTTGAATTATCTTTAAGAAGAAATATATTTCTCCTTCCCATTTCTTGTCTCACTTTATTGTTTCTGTGAACTTTTTTAGTTCTTTGCCTGTCTGTTGATAATCTTTGGTGCCGAAGTGGCAGCTGGGGTGTTTGGATTCTTAAACAAGGACAAGGTACATTTAATATTTGATAGCTAGTAGTGAATGTAGTAGATGAATCCTGATGACAACACATAATTCACTGTCCACTATCACACAGATTATCAAAGACGTTCAGACCTTCTACACCACAACCTACAACGAAAGCAATAACAGCACTTTGATACTGTCATACCAGAAAGTAGTAAGTATAAAAATAATATATTTTAGCATAAGTAACACTTTGCTTTTAATGCTCAAAAAACACATTATAAAAACGTTTGTTCATTCATCATATTATGTTTTTATTCCCACTTTCAGCTGAACTGCTGTGGGACCATAGACAGACCCTGCCCTGAACCTGCAACAACTACGAAGGTAAGACACCAGCTCCACCTGCAGGGAGGAAATCAAGTTCGTCCCCTCTAATGAATGAATCAGGGCCTCATGGTTCACGACAACTTGAAGCGGCTTGATTCCTCTTATGTTGGTTCTGCAGGACTGTGAGACCGGCATCAAGGATTTCTTCAACAGTAAACTCTACATCATTGGATACGTGGGCATCGGCATCGCGGGAGTCATGGTGAGTCAGCACCGGGGACTTGACTCGAAAACACATGCAAATACACACACACACACAGTGAGCATGAATGTTTTTGTGGTTTCCTCTCAACAGATCATTGGGATGATCTTCAGTATGGTGCTCTGTTGCGCCATTCGCAACAGCAGGGAGGTCATCTAAGCTGGACCTTTGACCTTCACCTCTTCCCAGCCCCAAAAGACTGTACAGCCCTCAGATCAAATGTCAACCGTTGCTCGTCATCCATCCAGGGACCCAGGAAATGGATTGTGATCAAAAACATCTTTTCCACTATGGTGCTGAAACCAGCTCTCCTGGCCTGTTTTTGTATCTTCTCTTTCACTATTATTTGCACTCACAAGCAAAGCAGCACCCTCTACGTTCCATAGCATTCTGATGTGACCAAAACAGCTGGATCGATGTGATTTCTGATGTTGCCATGACAATCCGTCAAATTGTTTTCCTCCTCATGGCCATTTGGTCAACATTATAAATGTTAACCCGCATACCGTCGCAGCGGTGTCAATTCTTTTTCACACAGCCTTGACACTGACCCCTCAACTGTGGGAAACTCGAGCCCCGGGAGAGCAAACCCGAGAGGCAAAAGCAATGTTGTGTTACATGAGATCAAAACCTGAAGAAAAAAAAGAGGTTGGCTGGAATCTCGTATGTAATCCTGAACAAATTCTCTATTTCGTCCCGAAGTAAGAGCTCCTCGTATATGTACGTTCTCTCACGTCAAATATTAGTATTCTTGACTCTCTGTTGACTGTATTTCAAGAACATGTGTGTGGATGTTTAATGGCTAAATATATGCTAGCCTGTGAACAGGCAGTGGGGCTGTGAAATTGGATTATTCAAACCAGCGGGAATCTCCCCACCTTCACCTTCTTTCCCCTCTGTGCCTTTTTACAAGTACTCCACCGACAACAAAACAAAAACCCATTTCATTCCTCTCGTCTGATTATTTCAGGACTGGTATGTAAATATATGTGACTTGTCTTATAGTTGTACATTATCTGTGGATGATGCGATAGTCCCTATTTAACAAGCTGTGTGTAGATAGATTCTTGCAGTTGTTGTATAATGTTCATGTAGTCATGACGGTGTTTGCAATAGTCAAACAAATCCACACAGCGAACTTACTTAATGTGCCTTTTTTTTGATAACGAGCTCTTTGAACAACCGGCTGTCGGAACGTAGCAAAAGATTGTAGCGTTTGTAAAGTGTACATATGTTTGTTTAGTTGGACTACAAGTGATTGTCACACACAATCGACTTGCCATTGTTGTTGTGGTGTGCCACACTTCTTTCCTGCCAAGAGAGCTGAAGTGGTAAAAGCAGCAACATCTTGGCCAACTATTATAAACGCAATATTTTAAAAAAGGCTCTTTTTCTCACTCCAGCATTTGTTCTGAGGAGTAACGCAACCGAGTCACCGTAGTGTTACTTCATAGGCTCTGCGGGAACCGTTAAGTGTGACTCAATCCACCAAGCTGTCGCTGTGCTTCTCAGTTCCATTTTATTTGTAAATCTGGAGTGATAATGTGTCTAAAACCTTTCAAAGTTAATTGTGTGTTAACTTATTTTGATAAAATTCCAGGCTTCTCAGGAAGATAGCTGTCTCAAGTTAAATAAAGCTTTTAATGTTTACATTGTTTCCCTTGTCTTATTCTCTCACAGTTTTATTGTTGGAATGCAGCTAGCAATAAAAAAGGTATTTGCAACAGTTGTTCCAGATTGAAATGGCTTGTGTGTCAGCAAAACTGTGCAGATAAATCAAACCTGATTTTCGGTTAGAAGCTTGGCAAAAAGAAACAATCAAAATCAAAAGATAAAGAACATTTTTGTTCTCGTCACCAAAGACATCTTTACTTTGTGATATCAAGTAGTCCTATAGTCATCTGGTTGGATTCACACTCTTTCCCAATATGGATATAAGACCTCCACGCAAATATTGTTGATTGTGTTCATAATGTGACCCACATTATGTCAAAGAAACACATTCAAACTAAGAACATATTCCATCGCAATGTCATTGTATTTGTTATTCCTTTAAAATCCCCTTATTGAATAGGTGTCCAGGTCTGGTCGCATGGTTTTCATGTCAGAGTTTCACCTTTCTGCACTGCAGCTGAAACGACAGCTGAATATTTAGTTATGCCCGTGATGCGGCAGAGGCTCCGGGGTTAGAGTTACCCCAGCGCTGCAGCATGAGCATTTTTACTGCCACAAATGTATCAATGCCACTTACGCATGTGTAGAGAAGTGGGGTAACACCCCTTAAGATTGCATCAGAAAAGGGGTTGGCTGTCCACAGTCAACCTGCCACTATTTCCTACTGCACTCCACAAATAACACAAGTAAACATTGCATTCATAAATATTTATTTAGGAGTGTATTTACATGCGTAATTCATTACAATGAACTGAATTATCCTTTAAATGTTGAAAAGTTGAAAATTTCAGTTTGAGTTTAACTTGACGTTCAAGACAAATGAAAGATACGGGATACATATTTACATTAAAGTGTTTGACCTATGACATTTCTCATGGTAGGGTGAGTACAGCCCAGAATTACTCCGTTCTGATTCTTAATACACTTGGGTCAGCTCCTGTATCTCTTACAGACAAGTAAACCTGACCAGTCACAAACAACCACTGTCAACTAAGAGAAAGTGTCTATTTATAGGTCATGAAACACCTTTTCCAGAAGACGTGGTCCCAAAAGCATATCAAATCACATTAATAGTATTGTTCATAGTTCTCCACCATCTAGTCTGACTCAGATGTAGATTGGGGGTATAAGCCCACCTTCGTCCAGCATTCTCTTCTTCATCTATTACTTTTCTGTTTAGTGACCAACTGGAACGCAGTGTAGATAAAGAGAATGGGCAAACTATTTAATAACACAGTAAATCACTGCAGGGAAAAGTATGTAAACCAGGTTGCTTTGATGAAAACACCTGACAATCAATTTAAGTTATGAAGTTATTTATCTAGTAACATCCACTTTACACTATATACATTGAAAAAGATCAGCATCCATGGACCGTGATTTTATGGCATTGATCATTGATCAATGTGGTCAATGATCTATCCGGCCCAGGAAAGCAATCCTGCTCTGACAATAGGCTCCACCAAGGACCACGAAGATAATTGTTTAAATCTCTTAATTTAGACCAAGTAATGCTAAAGGCATATTTAAGACTTTGAATGGCATTTCTCTGGTCCCTTCAGCGTTTTTATATGAAAGCCTCCGACAACACAGAAGATTCACTTTTTTTTTACGAAGAGTAGATGTTGTTGGGCGTGTACCCAAGTAGGAACTCTCCAACTCCGACAAAGTACACAACCTGTGCGATGCCAAAGAGCGGGGCGATAACCAGGGCGCGGCAGCTGGCCCCCTTCAGGAACGCTGCAGGACCCTCCTTCCTCAGGATCTTCCTGCAATCGAGGAGAGTGTGCACGGTTAGTTTAGTTTATTAACTATCCTATTTACTAATCCTCCTGGGGTCCAGGGAAAAAGGACCAAATGAAACACATGCAAAGGGTTAACCTGTAACCTGTTGCCTGCATGCAAAACCTGTGAAAGGAAAGGAATTACTTTTGATGACTGTAAGCCTTATTTACCTGACGCAGTCCGCCACTCCACTGTAAGTTTCCTCGTCGGCTCCTTTTCTGAGTGATTGTAGCCTTGTCTTGACCACTGCAGAAGACATACAAAGCGCATTAGTTGAGAACTTATTACATTAAAACTACAGTTAGTAGTGCTTATGTTTGGTGACCAGTCGTTGGCAAAGATTGAGTCGCTGACCGTCACAAGGGCTGACAGTTACAGCAGCAATGGATCCAGCCAGGCAGCCAGACATGAAGGACCAATAAAAGGGAACAGACGGGTCTTCACGTGAACGTTTGCCGAGCTGGTGCAGATGTGCAAAAAGTGGGAAATACACAACGGAGAACGGGATGTCTCTAAAAAGACACAACAAAAACAAACAAAATTAATTAATTTTACAGCTCAACAGTACATGTTAAGGGGTTCCTGAAAACAGCGACCTCACCTCATCAATGTGGCTCCGAGGCCCCTGTAAAGCCCCGTCACTCCTTTGGTCCTCAGCAGCTCTCTGGTGATCTGCGTGGCGGACACTCGCATGACTTGAGGCGCAGGACTGGTGTTGTAGGAGCGGCTGAGAACAGCGCTGGTCCCTCCCATCTTCAGGGTAGTCGCTACACTAGGCACCACTCTCTGCTGGGCCGCTGGCAGAAAGAGGAAACATATTGCAGAGTGTTTTCACCGGGAGGTAAAGAGCACTAGGAAGCATTATTTGATGCTGATGATTTCCTTGAAATTACCCAGCCTGCCAGCGTCCTGCAACTGGATCTTGAGCATCTCCATGGGCGTGGTGATAATGACCTGGCACATTCCTGCACAGCATCCAGCCAACATCTCCTTAAGCACCGTCAACCTGCTACTGAAGACACGTGAACAGGGTTGGAAAAAAGAAAAAGAAAAGGGAATGACGCGTCAATTAATCCGAAGTAATACTCACCCATCTTTGCTCAGCTGGTGGCGAAAGAAGTCATTGGCGGCCAGTTTGATGGCTTTCTCAGGGGTCACCAGGGTTAGATTCACTGCTGCACCTGCAATAACAGGCATCGGCCAACTTAAACCTAAAGACTCGTTGATGCAGCAGGATGTCTGCAATAGAATTTCACGCAATCGGGGCTGTCAATGACTTATGTGAGGTTTAGCATGTCCATTGCTTCAGTGCAGTGGTTTGTGTCGATGTGATCACCGACTCACATACAAAAGAAAGACACTTGGCATAAGAACAAACATCCTTCTTTGGGAGAGATGAAATCGGTATGTTTGGTTTAGGCCAATCAAAGTGTATCACAAGTCTAAAAAACAAATGTTGTATCTTTGATGTACTATTTCAAGGCACGTCTTAAAAATGAGTGTCTTACCTCTGTACATCCCAAAGTAGCCTTCCGATTTAACTGTCTTTATCAGGCAATCCATCCTGATGCAGAAATAATACAGACATTGATACAGTAGTTAGGATTTCAAGGATTATCGTGTGTTTATGCATAGCTTAAGTGAGTGTAAATAAAATATAATCAAGGCTCGAAAAATTTGGGAAGAGTCTTCATGCAAGGAGAAAGTTGTCAAATCAAGTGTGGTAGTTCATGCTAAATACTGGGAAAGGGGAAGGGGACCTTTCTTATCTCTTACATGTTCTTGTAGAGTTGCTGCCCGCTGCGTTGATTCTGCAGACGAGTCTTGGCCAGGTCAATTGGGAACACACAGGTCACGCCTACCATGCCTGCAATCCCTCCATTAACCAGTTTGGCTGGGAGGCTGTTTAATGGCAAGTTGGAACAGATATGTGCACAGGGTGTGGCAATGTCAAGTCAGGTTAGAAAACCTACTGAAACTGAAATGATGCAGGTTAAGGATTTGGTCCCCAAGGATTAAGAAAACCATCTCCACAGGAAAGTAATTAGGCTTTTTAACCATGTGTATATTCTGGTTGTGAGTAAACAGCATTGCAACAGAACTGGGTACGGAGTGACTACTTCTGGGAATCTGCTCATCCAAAAATAACTTTCGACAGAGTGAATTACAGAACATGTCATTACAGCCACTAAGGCTTCTATGGATCGACAACTTAGCGCTAGAGAAACAAACAACAATAAAGGTAAATAATCAAGGCATGCTTTATTCCTATTTTGCCCATTGAGCAGCCTGCATACTGAATCATGCTGCAGGGTTTGGTGTGCTGTGCTGATAATTAGAGCAGGTTCATACCTAATCTGCTGTTGCTGGGCCATGGTTCTTGTTGTTTTGGCTTGTGCACAAGATGTTTTGCACAAGTGGAGGCAGCAGAGGGAAAGCAGGCCGAGTATCCCTGTGAGACCCCAAGCAAGGCAGGGATAAAGAAGAAAGTCAGTCTTATATAGAGAGAGGCAGGTCCAGCCCCAAAGATCCACGGATAGATTTGAGTTTACGCTCCACCCACTGGACCGCCTGCCAAGAACTGGAGCCAGGGTTGTCATCGCCCAACTGAAATCAAACCCCAAGCCAACTAGCTTTGAGGGATACATCTCCCTGTCCTGGCAGGGAAGCTGCCACCAACGCCTCTGTGTTTTCCTTGCTGTCATGTCTTTCCCAGTTGCCAATGTCACAGATCATTGTTTGGTATAGCTTTAGTTTCTTGTTAAGATACCCCATACCAGACCTTATTGAATCAATCACCCTGTGTTCTAGAACAACAAACGTGTGAGCTGGGTTCAGGAAGTGCAAACAGCCAGGGGAGTTTCTGGCCTGACCTTGTAAAGTGGGCCGGCCAATTCTACTAAGGACCACATTTCATGCAAGTGAGAATGATGCAACTTCTCCAAAACCTTTCTCACAGGTTTGAAAAGTAATTAAAATGTAGCGAGGCTAATTAACCCATAAAAAAGCATTCAATTATGTTTGCACATAGGCATACTTTGTGCAAAACATATATATTATGCCCATTTAGTAAAAACCTAATAGGACACACATTCAAATGAAAAACATCGGTTTCCTGAGATCAGCCCAATCAGGCATTATTTATTTCCATAGCCTACAATTATTCTAATTTCTTTAATGTATGCAATTATCACAGTGAAATTACAATGCATGTTCAACATGGGGTTTTATTGAGCTGTGACATTATACCTAACTAGAAAGAAAAGAAAAACACTCAGACGCACAACAGCAATAACAACAACAAGCCCTTCTGGTCCATCGGCCGTGGCATGTGTCAAGCAGCATCGCCTGTGTTAACATATTGCTGGGTTGCCACGGAGGGCTGCGTCTGGCTCTTCACACCGTCGAGGGTCGCGGAGCATCCCTCGGTGGAGACGCGGCTGGTGCGCACGCAGTGGTGCGTGCGCGTGTCGCAGCGCTTGCAGAGGCAGCGGTGGGCAGCGGGGTAATACACCTGCGGGTTGACACCCGGAGGGCAGCCGGGCAAATGGACGGCTCGGTACACCAGGGAGAGAGGCACACAGCTGCGCTGGATCATGAAGTCCCTCCCGAAACGTCCCTTCAAGTTGGTGTCCTGGAAACAGAGAGTTGAATTTGGCCACACTTTTCGAAGGAATACACACTAGAAATCTAAACTGAGGCTGGTCTAGTTGTACTTTACTCTAATTATTGTTTTTACAAATTATAAATACAAAATAAAATGTAAAATGTATTCTAATATATTTATTAGTATGGGTTATGCACTCCAGCAGCATATGCATATTATAACATCATATTTTAGCTGAGTATTTCTAAACATTATTATTACTATTTTAATTGAAGTAGAAGATCTCTCCCCTTTTGACCACAGTCAAATATACAACTTATCAAAATCATGTTTTAGAAAATCTAGGATGCTGAATCAGATTCTGTTATCTTGAGCATCATCCATCGCATTTTATTGTACATTTGGTTGAAATATCGGCAAAATGTTGATATATCGAGTTTCCATCATCGAGGGTGTGTAGTCACCTTTGTGTAACAGTAGCCTTTGCAGATGGTAGTGTTGATGGCCACACACTGGGCACAGTCGCGACTCTCAATCCATAAGGTGTGATTGCTCAGCATACAGGCGCACGCCGCCCTGTGCATCAGTGCACACAGCAGCATGCACTTCAACACTAACAGAGGCATACTGGCAGTATGGCGGACAGTGAGGCGGACACTCTGAAAAGAAATCGATTAAAAAAAAGACACAATTAATGATTGACAGGACAATAGTTTCTCAGACTTTTGATTTGTTAAAGCATGAAAAATTAAAAGAAAGAAACACACCTTCACATATGACCCCCTGTACTTCACGAAATTGCAGAGATGTCCGAGGACAACAGTATTCATTTAAGTGGGAAGGAAATTATTATTTAAGATATCCACAAATCTATATTCTGTTTTTGTTTTTTTTAATGAGTGATCTTTCAGTCTGGATTCGTCCTCTCGTTGTGTCGACACAGTTCCTCTTCTTTGTGAATGTATGGAAAGATCAAGGGAGTCCATCCTCTTTTATCCACCCCGACCGCCCCAGTAGACTTCAAACACCATTCCAGTAATCACATGGCAGCAACAATCTTTAGAGGTCACAGTACTCTCAAAACACACTGATACAGAGAGTATGTATGGTGTGTGTGTGTGTGTGTGTGTGTTTGTGTGTGTGTGGGGGGGGGTGTGCATGAATGGGCGGTGTTCATTTTCCCACAGGTCACATGTAGAAGAGTGTGTGATCAACCTTCTGGCATGCAGGTGAGGGTGGGGTGGGGACGTAACTGAATATCACTGGTTAATGCTGCAGGCAATATCTGCCAAACTACAACAACAAGATGTAAAAACGTGTGCGGCTGCTCAAACTCGATCCATGTGCTTGAATCTACATGTGCACCAAAATGGTCTCAAGTGAGTCTTTCCATGTGCTTGAATCCCCACGTGCACCAAAATGGTCTCATGTGAGTCTTCTAAAAGTTACACTTCGAAGAATAATAGTCTAATAAGCAATATGTGCAATAACACATCATTTTTTAATAATCACTACATGCTACAAAGAATCAATTGACAAATGGGTAATAACAATTTATTTTATTATCTTTATTTAAAATATCAAGGATTACCCTGTTGTGGTGAAAATGCAAAATGAAAAGTTTAAAAAAAAGAAAAATTGTTCAAATGAAACTCTCATCAAACCACAGACCTTAGAATAATAAAAAAAAATATCATTTAGAAAATCAAACATATAAGGGAAAGGGATTTCCCAAAAGCGTAATCAAACTTTTCAAACAGAATTGAAAAAAACAAATGATAATAACATTTCTTTATTTTCCCTCTGGGACGAAAGATGTGATCCAAACCGTTAAAAAAGATGCTTAAAAAATGGCACAAAAGATACATTACATTAAATTAATTATATTACATTACATTAAATATGATTATTAGTATGATGATTACCTTTGACTGATGCTGGGTCAGCACACACGTGTTTCTCTCTTTATCTAAAAGAGAAAATCTACGCCCTCTTTTTTTAAGCCATTAATGCTCCCATTATTCCAGTTTGTTCCTAATGTGAGTGGCTGTGCCCTTAGATCGGATGAAGGGTTGTTTGTATCAAGATTGTTTAGAAACACTGGAACATTTTTTGAATGATCTAGTTCAATATAGATGAATGTACAGTATATAGTCTACTAAAATACAGATATGGGAAACCAACATAAATATATACTGAAATACAGAAAATAATGTCCCAGCTTAATTAGTATACATTCAGAGCATATATCTTGGCTAGTTTGGATGTTTTGTCACTATTATCTGCGTCTGACCTGGCCCCTGTTTCTTTTATCCGACTTTGTCATGGCGAGTCACATGTAACAAATCCATCAGATAATTGCAAAGAAAGTGGGTCGTGGTCAGTTCGACTCTCTGCCCTGACACAGATTCTGCTTTTTGCGTGGAGAGGTGGATTATAATTTGTGTGAGCTTCATGAGGAAAGTCAGCCCTTAGGTTACAAATCATGGGACCATACTGCATGGGTCATGCCTGGATTCAAAGGAAAAAAAACAATGAACATTTATGATTTACAAGAAAGCATAACAAAATAATGCATACGGTGCCATGCATAAGCAGTTCCCTTACCAAATGCTGTTCATTACTTACAAAGTTCAACCTAATCTCTGACTAAATACTAAGATCTGCTATATTTCGCTTGGACAAAAGTAACGCCGGCCTACTGACCAATCACAGCTCACGTTACTGCTGCCCTGTACGTTAATGCAAACGTACTTATGATGCTAAGAAAAAGAATACGCAACGTCAATACGCCACAAAATGTCAAACTAACGATCGGATCGGTCAATGACTGTGACAATCAACGATATCGTCCCCATATACTTAAATCTGGAAGCTACCTAGAGGGCTTCTCTCACATAGAGACAGAGGGGCTGAATCTGATTGGATAAAAGCTTTAAAACCAGCTACAAGCTCAGAAAGAAGGGCGCTGTGCAATGGGAAAACATTGTGGTGGAAGATTTTGCACAGACAATCGTTAAGTAAGAATCGAAGGCTCTGAGTCAAGTATGTCTTTTCTCCGTTTATTTCCTTGCAAGGGAAAAAGGGTCACAACAGCTACGTGGTCAGTAGACTGTCAAGAACCTCCTTTTTCCTCCCAACACATCGAGGCAGTTCTTATACCTAAACTTAGATATCGGTGGCGTCAACAGAAACCGTTAACCATCTTGTTGAGTATCTACAGTCAGGATACTGGGAACATCTTATCCATGTAAGACACGTCAGCTCTTTGACCGTATCCTTGCTCTCCCAACATTCAAAAACAAAGGTGGTCATAGACATAACAAACACTTTGTTCAATCTCTACAGCTATGACGCTGGAAACATCTAATCCAAGTGGGAGACATCAGTTCTTATGTCAGGGCCTTTGTGACCTAAGCACTAGCAACTAATAAACTGGTTATACAAATGAAGCATTTAAAAGGGTCACATATCATTTTCCCATTACATTCCACTCTTTTGATTACATAATAATCACAAACTATGCAATCAATTTAGATTGACTACTCTAAAAATTCACTAGCTGATATCTACCACATCAAATATCACAAAACATGAACATCTGGACATCGCTCACAAAACTTTTCCTGCCACAGAACAAAAACTCCCTAAAAAAACCCTCCGAAATGGGAAAATAGGAAGAAATCTGTTAGGAGAAGATAAAGACTGGAAACCTTCTCACAGGATTTGAGCGTTACACCCCAGATGTCATGTGTACAGTATTGAAATAAAAAAGAAATGAGAACATGTTTAAATCACAATACCAGAACTTGATCCCCTTTCACACAATACAGATATAGAATATTGTGGAAAGGTCATTATATCAATCATATTTACGTTACATACTAATAAATGCAAGAATAAAAGCTGTTTTTGTGAGAATGTTATTTCTCATTGTTTTAGTAAGCTACTGTGAAACCAAAAACATTTAGAACACCAGGAAGGCACACAGACAGTGTGTCACTATGTCACTATGCGTACGTGTCGAGGTCGTAAGTGTTCAGCTCGTCAAGGGAGTCCGAGTCACTGTTGGGGTTATCGTCAGAGTCATTCCATGATAAGAGAGAACCACTCTTTAGATAGCTGATTACAAAATCTCAAAAACCGTAGTGACACAAACGACTACTGTGTCTATGTGGAGGGGTCCTGGCCGTGTTCTTCTTCTTGTGTTGGTCCGCAGGTACACGTTGGGATGTGGAGTCTGCCAACCTTCTTTCTTGTGAGGCATCCGCGTTGTAGACAGTCAACACAGATCACAATGCACTGTGTGTCTGTCGGTCAACTGCCCGTCCGTGGTCACTGGATCGGTGGTGTCGGTTGATTGACACTTTTTGTGGAGGTAGGGTCGCCTGAGCCCACTGCTGGTACTGGATCTGGAACCTTCTTGCAATGGGATGCGTGGACCCAAGTTGCTCTTTCAGCTACTTTGACCGCTGTTTGGGTGACCAGGAGAATCTGGAATGGACCCTGCCACCGTTTAGCTTTCCAACTTTTCCTCCTGAAGTCCTTTACCACCACGAAGTCACCTGGTTGCAGTCGGTGTAGTGGACCCGTTGCTTCTCTTGGAAGTGCAGCTACAACCTGTTTTCTTACATCAGACAAAGTGGAAGACAGTCGAATGCAATAGGTTAACATGTCATTCTCGCACATTGTGGTGGAAGGGAGTGGTGTTCCTGGAGCTTCCACACCTATATGGGGAGGAACTGCGAAAAGGATTTCAAATGGGCTTAGGTTGCTGCGTGTTCGTTTCCTCATCCGCATGTACATCAGAACCAAGGGCAGTGCTTTTGTCCACGGTAGACCTGTGTCTGTGCAACATTTGGCCAGTTTTGTTTTCAATGTTCCATTTTCTCTCTCTACCGCTCCCCCACTAGCTGGGTGGTATGCGCAGTGTGTTTCTAAGTCAATACCCAGGTATGCACTTAATTCTGTGATTGCTTGGTTGACAAAACGTGAACCATTGTCGCTAGAAATTTTGCTTTGGGATTCCCCAGCGGGGAATGATCTCTGAAATCAAGGCTTTAGCCACTGTGGAGGCTGTCTGCTTACTGGAGGGAAACACCTCAACCCATTTGGACCACATGTCTACCATTACAAGACAGTGTTTCTTACCTTCCGATGGGGAGAGTTCCACAAAATCCATCATTACATGTTCAAATGGTCTTGCAGGCGGTGGATGTCCTGCATGATGTGACACCTGTACTGAACGACCTACATTGTGAGTTGCACATGTTATGCACGCTTGGCAGAACCTTTCTGCGTAAGCTGCAAAGCCTTTTGTGAACCATGTTGCATCAATGATACTTAACATTCCCCCTTTTGACACATGGTCTAACCCATGAGTCAATTTCGCATAGTGAGGGAAGAAATGTTTAGGTAAGCATGGATTACCATTCGGACCATACCAGATGCCGTCTATGAATTTGGAGCCTGAGGAGGACCAAAAACGTCTCTCATCTGAAGTAGAGAGGGACTGCACGGCTGCAAGAGAGGAGGGAAGAGAACACATGGCAGGAACTGGGCGTGATGGTTTGGGAAGAGGACGTCTAGCAGCCGCTTTTGCAGCTAAGTCTGCTCGCTCATTCCCCTTTGCGATGTCGCCTGTGCCGGATGTGTGCGCTGCACATTTACAAACGGCAATAGCTGTGGGCAACAAAATGGCATCCAATAGTTCTGCTATCAGAGTGTGGTGTAACACTGGTTTGCCATCCGATTTGAGAAAATTTCTGTGTCTCCACAGCGCGCCGAAATCATGAACCACGCCAAAAGCATATCTGGAATCAGTGTGAATGGTTGTCGTTTTATCCTTAGCTAGTTTACAAGCTTCTGTTAGCGCGATTAATTCTGCTGCTTGGGCTGAGAGGTGACATGGAAGAGGGCCGGAACACAGAACAGTTGAGTCTGAAACAACAGAGAAACCCACAAGATTAGAACCAGTCAGGGGATCCCGTGAAGCAGATCCGTCAACATACATTACCATGTCACTGTTGAGCAGAGGTGTGTCTGCGAGGTCTGGTCGAGGTGTGCACTGAGCTTCCAGCTCAGCCAAACAATTATGCTCCTCTCCA